CATTTTTATGTACCAAAAACGGGTAAATCAGAAAAAATTTTTCGCAAAATGTGAAGTTTTGTATGTATATTGTAGAGCAATTAAAAACACACATTGTCTCAAAATTGGAGCAAATTTGAATTTGTTTGAGCCGAGTTATAGCCGAACTCCTGAACCATACCTTTTATGCTTCAGTGAGCACATCTCAAGAGCAAGTGTTCCAACCCACCTCAAATTTTTTTGGTATACATTTGATCTACACAAAACATTTTTTCATCAGAAAGCCAATCTTTAAAAAAATTCAGACGGAAATTTTTTTTCATCTGGAGTCATCGTCACGTCTGTGAAAATTCAGAAGACACAAAAAGTGATTGAGTTTCAAAAAACTTATATGACGTTTTGTTGGAAACTCAGCTAAATTCAAAAAAATTTTTCGATTATTGGACAAGTTTGAGTAAAGTTATGAACAAAAGTATAGAGGGACACTCACTACCGTTCGCCACTGTATATAAACTATGAAACAGACTAATTTTTTCAAGTTCAAAAACGCTAAACTAGTTTTTTTTCTGTAGTTTTTTTTGCGGTGCAATTTAACCTATTTTTTGTTTAAAAAAATGGTCAACTTGAGATGGTGTCATGCCCGTGCGTCATCGTGCCTAATAACGTCAAACAGTTTCTAGAAGTTCCTATGTGCTCCCGGATCCTACTTATAAGTGTCTGTATTTAACCCCCTGCTACCGACCATTCTTGGTCGGTGAGTCATCTTTGTTTAACTAATTATGTTCTCTGAATAAAAACATTCAACTTAAGAAGTTAGAGTCAATAAATGAAGAAGCTGAACGTCTTCCGCTACCGGCGTTTAGCCTCTTTACTATGGCTAACAACCTACAGTAGATTTTTTGGATGAGTCTGAAAGTTTTTAGAGTGTACTTAACAAAAATAGACCTTCAGTTTTGTAGTTGACAACTTTTGCACATCTTCATTCGAGTGAGATGAACCGCTTGAAAGTTTCTAGAAGTTTCGGAATTTAGAGCGGCTAACATTTATTTGAAAATGTTCAGTTTATTCATAATCATTTTCATATATTTTCAAAACAGTCAAAAAAGTTTTCTGTAAAACTCTTCGAAAACAACCAGAGATTGATAATAAGAAAAAGTTCACTAACCTCTATTGTCTATTCAATAAAACGTGGGCGCGCCGCAGGTTGCAAAGTGACACGCCCCTTTTTGGAACGCGTTCCCTTTTCCCTCTTCTCACGCGCCCACGTTTTATTGAATAGACAATAGTCATCACACATCATCGGATAATCTTTTATTGAAGACAGAAATATCAGCAAAAAAATATATTCTCAAATCTGGCACGTTTCGTCCTAGAAAACTAGTATTAAACAGGAGAAAAGAGCAACAAACAAAAAAGCTTTTTGATGACGTCGGAATACTTTTTTGATGCCTAAAAACAGAAGAACAAATAACATTTTTTGGACATAGAGGGAGCGGAATGGACACATTATGAGTACTTATGACAGAAAAAAAAACAGATGACCTTGAACTTTTTTTGGAGAGAGTGAGAGGGCAAAATTTTTTGAAGGGGGGTGGGGGTAATTTGGATAATAGCATTGGCAGCGGGACACATTTTTTGGGAAATTTTGAGTGGGGACGAAGAGACGAATTGTGAAGAGATTAGAAATGGGTTTAAAAGATGTAATCGTTGGGAAACGAAAGTTTTAAAATAGGGGGGAGGGGGATTCGGTGGTAGTATGCATTCTGACATACAGTACCGGCAAATAAGATATACACTCCAGTGAAGTGAGCTTACTGTTTCAAGAACTTTGTAATAAGATACAGGTAGTCAGATGTTGTTCCATCAGATCCACTCACAGTACCGGCCAATAAGATAAACAGAAACGTATTGTTCAGATGATTTTCGGTCAATTTGACCATTTTCCGAAGTCTGGAACTCGGCTGTCAAATTTCTCACCACTTTGAAAATTTTTCAATGCTTCAAAACAGATTGAAAACTTTACATTGACAGAATTTTTTCTGAAAATTCCTAGTTTTTCAGCTATTATTTGCCAATTTCAGAAAAACACCTGTTTTCCTGTTTTTGTACTAAAAACGAAGAAACAGGTATCTTTCAGAAATCGGCTAATAGCTGAAAATCTAGGCATTTTCAAAAAATTCTATAAATGCAAAGTTTTCAATCTAGGTATGTTATACGTCTTCCGAAATTCCGAAAAAAACCTGAAAAAATTCAAAAAAGTGTGTTTCGGTTTTTTACGAAAACTATTGATTTTTAATAAAACAGAATTGCAATGTCTTCTTGAATTCAGAAAAGTATTTTTGAAATTCACATTGAAAAATTACTGTTTCATATAATTTATAAGTTTGGGGATTTTGCTGTTTTTTGTTCTTAGCGTGTTCTCTGTTCATACAACCTTTTCAAGTAGTTGAACTTGTTGTCTGAAATATCGTGGTCCCGTGCTGCTATCAGCTGAGCTACGCAGTCGACATGGTTTTTTTTTGGGCTACCCGAAATGGGGTACGTAGTGCTCACAATAAATGTACAAAATAATATAAACTTTATGAAACTGAAAATTTTCCAAAAACCAAACAACAACAACAAGCTCAAAACGTTTTATACCATCCATTTCGATATTCACCCCGTTCAAACCAGGCAATATACCCACATGATGCTTTTCCTCGAAGATTCCACATTTGAAGCTCATCACAATTATCGCCTTCTGAAAAAAAGTACAAATATCAGTAAACCAAAAACTTTTGATTGAAATCGTCGAAAAGCGGAAACTGGAATTTTCATTTTTCTTTAGAACAAATTATCTACAGGTTCGGATAAAAGGATACCATATTTTGATTTTTAAGTAGAAAATTGTGAAATTTGAAATACTAAAAAATTAATTCAGAATTTGAAACTTTCAAATTATACTAAACAAATTTAAACTTCATTTTTGTAATAAAAATTTTTTTCGCTAAATTTCTTTCTGACACCTTGCCGTTTGTAACCAGATGAGAGTTATGTCCATTTAACGCCGCTTATCGAGCTTTGTCGGATTTTCTCAGAAAAGTTGTCACTTATAAAATTAAAGCTGTTATTTTGTTTTGTGTACTCTGCAACTTTCAGGCACATCGAAAAATTCTGGACTATTTTTTCAGGACATAAGAATTGATTCCTTTAAACACTCTGATGGACTGCCGAAACAATTTTTCGATTTTGAGCCTAATTATCTCATTTCCTGTAGAAGATATCTAAAAGTGGTCAACAAACAAGATGTTGGTGATGTTATGAAGATTAATTCATCAGTTGATCACTTGTGGATATCTTTCGCAGGAACCGAGATAAATTGGCTCAAAGTTTAAATTCTGGATATTTTTGTATTTTAAATCTCTAACAATCCGAAATTTTGTTTTCATAGTAATGCTCATATGGAAACGGGGAAATCTTTCCATATGAACTACTTTTCTCCGAACTTTAAAAGGGGACTCCGACCAAAAATGTTTATTGCCTTAAAATGTTAAAAAAATATGTATTTCCTAATATTATTGCGAAAAAATTCAAAGAAAATCCTAAATCCCCGAAAAACTGCGTTGAAAAAAAGTAGGATTCGAATTCCCGCGCAGTGAGAAACCTAGGCCACGGCATCATAGCGCCTTTCTGACATGGAAATTTTTCCGGATTTTTTCGGTTTTCATGTCCGGCAGGTAAAAAACTTAAAA